TATAAAATATTTTTTAAATTTATACATGTCACGGCATGTTCATGAAATTCAATCCACCCCTCTAGTATTCATTTGCAATGAGCATAATGATAATGTAATGCTCTATAACTTGCCAAATGTGTTGTAGTAGGCAGCATTTCAAGTAAATACGTTTTGTTTGAAAGGCGAAAATAAAAAATGAAATAAATTGTTGCGCAGTGTGTCATAAGCTATTATAAGGCAAATCGGGATTCCGATTGGACTGAAATTGGCAATGGGGCCAGTTAGGCAGCTGCCAAAATTTTGTTCGTTTCGCTGTGCGGCAATGAACTACTCAACAGTGCCTAGGAGGAAGTCTTTTATATGGTTCGCAATTTCATGTACTTGTATGTATGTATATATATTTATGTATTGCACTTACATATGAAGTCCATTTGGGGCTGCTTTTTTAGTGCGATATATGAACTCTTTGCAGTGCTTTAGTTCCAAATCCTTTGCATGTTAGAAATGCTGACAATTTAAGCTGCTTAACTGTTGAGTGTTATATATCATAAATTGGTCTACTATCTCTGCAAGCATAATTTTTTAAATATATTTTTCACAAACTTTTGGCCAAATGTTAATTTGTTTAACTTTTTGGTAACAGCTGCGAAAAGTTTGTCAGTTACTTTACTGATTCTGAGGGCAAAGTGCCAGGTTGGTGCAGTTTAATAAATGGCCTATCATTTTGTAGTTATTATTTAAAGCTTAGCCTTAGATATATTTTAAATCTATATTTAATACACTCAATTGAAATTTGACATTTTTTCATACAGGAAATTACAGGAAAAGTAGAGCTTTTTCTGTAAGACTAATTGGCAGCTTCTACTCAAATACTCTTAGTGAGTTCATTCGCAAGGAAAAACCTTGTTAAAGTGATGTTAGTCGTGCAAATAATTTGTGTTTTATCTTATCTATCAAGAGTCTTTTGTAATGTACTTAACTTACTTAGGCTCGACAGAGCGAAAAATTGTGCAAATAATGATYTAATTAAAGCGCATATAAATATAAATATATATGACATATTAAAATAAATATACCTATAAATATATGTTAATGTAGGTAACACATTATGTGTATGAATTTTTGAAATTTTTGCTTTAGTTTGTTTTTCCTTATTCATCTTCTTATTTTATTTCTTGTTTATTTACATTCTTTATTTTCCATAAGGCTTTTCTTTTTATACTTGAAATGCTTTTCGCCTAATTAGTATTAGTTTTTATTCTGCTTTACCTTTTGTGCGTCATTGATTTTTTGTTGCTGTTTGCTACGCTTGAGGCTTTAATACCCTATAGGAATTGATGAGGGCATACTGGTTTTACAGGCAACAGAAGGTATGCTTACTTCATTAGCTTTTCCTTTTTAGCTTAAATGTCCAAGTTGATTCATCTGTCTGTCTATCGGACACTCTAATAAAATGGTAAATTTCTAAATAATTAAAATTCCAAGCATCAATAAAAAAGAAGAAAGCAGCCCTGTAATATACCCTTTAGGCAAGTTCATCAATGTCTCGTTATATGTCTTAACCGAATACAGGGTATATTATGAGTCGGTCATTTTGAAATAGAGCACTTTGCGGTTTCTGTCTTTCCTTTGTTCTTTACAAATCAATCTGAACAGTCTGTTTTCCTAAGCGAACACACCTTAGAACAAATTAGTGTAAATTTGCTAATAGTGCTTGGCATAAATATACGTTGTCCCAAAGTCTTAGGTACCTTA